AGCTGGGTCCCGTGGCCATTGAGTGCAATGAGAGTCAAGGTCCCAGCTTCAGTACTAGTCCTACTTAAGTATGTACCTGTCCCTAGTGACCAGAAAGGGCAACATTTATTTATTTTTACAAAAGTAAAAACAAATAAATATTTAAGTATTTAAGAAATTCAAATAGGCCAGGTACAGTGGATCACACCTATAATACCACCACTTTGGGAGGCAAAGGTGAGAGGACTCCCTGAGTCCAAAGGTTTGAAACCAGTCTGGGCAACTCGGTGAGACCTCATCTCTACAATAAATCAAAAAATTAGCCAGGCATGATGGCTCACACCTGCAATCCCAGCACTTTGGGAGGTGGCGGTGAGAGGACTGCCTAAGCCTATGGGTTAGAAACCAGAATAGGCAACTTGGCAAGAACTCACCACAATAAATCAAAAAATTAGCCAGGCATGGTGGCACACGCCTGTGGTTCCAGCTACTTGGAAGGCTGAGGCAGAAGGAATGCCTGAGTCCAGCAGGTTGAGGCTACAGTGGCCCTGAGTAAGCCACTATACTCCACCCTGGGCAACAGAGTAAGACTACCACTCAAAAACCTGAGATAACCTTCAAAATATAAACTATGCACACTAAAACACACACACACACACACACACACACACACAGAGAGAGAGAGACAGCTGGACAGCTGTTACTTACAAAGCCACAGAATCACACTATACACATAGTAGCAGTCTGCACCTCCTCCCTCCGCACCCATAGATGCAGATCCACCACCCTCTGTCCTCTCTGGCCTAAATGTGGTCATCTTCTCTACTACAGACACTGTAGTTATGACTACCTTGCTCCTAACAGCTTAAACACCAAATTACAGTAATCATTTCTTAGCATACCCTTGGCTTTTAAAACCCCCATGTGCTTTCTCAGTTGGGGACCTCTACGTCTCCCCCCCTCTCAGGGAAGGCACTGCCCAGCTCTCTGCTCACATTTCATCTCAGCTGCAATGGCTCTTCTTCAGGGAGATTTCTCAAGCTCACCACTAGGATTCAACCAAAATTAGATCTGAATTCTCCTATCTGTGCCACTTTTCCATCCTCACACCTGGTGTACTGTTTGATGATGACACAACTGTCAACATCTGTCAGGTCCATTTGACTTAGTTCATGGGGAGGGACGGTGCTGGCTGTGCTCACCGCAGGGCCTAGCACAAAGCCTGTCGCAGAGGCCAGATCACGCCTGCCCTGTGGACAGAACATGCCGGCTTTACGGCGAACCAATGGAGAAGACGAACTCAGTCACACACTCTGCAGTATTCCACAGCGCAATGGACAACCTGTCTCAAAGGATTCTTTCCAATGCTGGCAGGCTGTGGACAAGCAGGCTGTTGCTGCCCTCCTTCAGGGTCTAGGATGGTGGGGAGTTGGCCACATGTGTACCTACCTGGCTTACCTCAGGTGAGCAAGTTCACTTCTGGGGCTCACAGAGATAATCATGGACACACACAAGGATTTCACCCTGACCATATTCTTTCCCTACCCATTTGACAACAGGGAAAACTGCAAACAACCAAAATAATTAAACCCTGATGAAAAAATAAACAGGTGTGTTCACACAGCGGAACACTGTGCAGCCGTTAAAAAGTGCTTAGGTGCGTGCTGAATCTGAGCCGTCCAAGGAATCATAAACCAGTGACATGATGACACATTCATGACACACACATCAGTGGAAAAGATGGTTACTGTACATATCACCCTATGTTTATGTAATAAATAGGTATGTGTATTCACTTGAATACACACTGGCATCCACCAAAATGGTTAGAGATGACCTAAAAGTGGCAATTTATAAATCATTTATGTTTCCTTGTTTTTGAATTTAAAATTGTTGTAGTTTACATGCACTACCCTTAAGGAAAAAAGAGTCATCTTTTAAAACTCTCTCTCTCGACTCCTTCCTCCCCACCTGTCGGGTGCCTGGTCCAGCCAAGGGTATGTAACTTGGCAGGAGGCCGAGTGTCTCGTTTACTACAGGTTGAGCATCCCTGATTCAAGAATTCAAAACCCGAGATGCTCCAAAATCAAACTTTTTGAACATCAACATGATGCCACATGAGGGAAACGCCACATGTGATGCTGTCACAGTCAAAACACACTTTATTCAACGTCCCCAGGGTTAAAGTAAAATTACCTTCAGACTTTCTTTGTGTATAAGGGGCACTGAAACATAAATGCATTTCATGTTTAGACTTGCATTCATCCCCAAGACATCTCAGTATGTATAATGCAAATATCCCAAAGTCTAACAAAATCCAAATCCAAAACACTTCCTGTCCCAAGCATTTCAGATAAGGGTTACTGAACCTGCGCTTTTGGAAGTCTTATTCAAGCCAATGACTCTTCATTTCTGCTGCACAGGCTAAGTAAGGCCCGTCGTCTTCAAGCCATTTCTGAAAGGCACTGTCTCTACTTTAAACTCCACGGAGCCAGCAACTTGGTGAAGAGGAGGAGAGTCAAGGGGCACAAGAAGACCAGAACGCTGCTCCCAGAAAAGCGCCCACAGACCCCAGGTGAACCAATGGAAGCCTGACCCAGGCCAGGAGTGCGTCGACGTCAGCTGCTGCCCTGGGGACTGTGCCAACCAACACAGCTCTAGAGAGCGAGGGCGTGAGACTCAGAGACACCACAGGCACTTTTCCTTTGTAGCAATATTGTGCTTACTCCCACGGAGGACTCGAGCAGGAACTGCCTGACAACACTCGGGATCTGTGGATCCCAAGCCCTGGCCCTGCTCTGGAATTGCTCCAGAGCACATTAGCAACAGCCACACCAGAAGGCCAGATTCCCGAGTCTCACCCAAGACCACTGCATTCGAATCCTGTGGGTTGGGCCTAGGAATTTTTTAAAAACTTCTCAAGTGATGGTGATGCACACAACCCACATGTTCAGCAATCATGTATACACTGCTGGCTGGAAGGATCTGAGAAATACCTACTCCATCTGACTCCAATTAGATTAGCACCAAAGCCAAGTAAAAAAAGAAAGGCCTCCAAAATAACTCAGATTATACTACCTTCCTGGTGTTTGAACAAATCTCACCATGAAAAGTTCATCCTTTTAACTTCACTAAATCCTCCTCTGTTAAGCTATAGCCTGTTCTCTTTTATTTGGTCCTCGGTGGGCCCTGGAAACAGATCATGTTAGAATATGTGATTACATTGGAAAATGGAAGCACAGCAGAACAAAAGAAACACAAATCGCTCTTGTGCGGCCAGCCATGAAGCCACAGGGCACCATCCCGAGCTAGGTCGCCCTGGGTGGCAGCTGGACCCTATGGGCCTCAGCACCCTGTCCAGGCTCCACTTTGGCCCAGTCCTCTCTCACACACTCAGGACACAGTTCTGTGCAAGACTTACTGCTCGATGTGGCCTTGTTTCCAGGGATGCATTCAGATGACACTTCCTGCTGTGACTAAACAGAATCAGGAAATCTCAATAACTTCTTTTCTATTCTATGTCTTCTGGACCTTTGGTGACTTAATTTGTGATAAGGTTCTGCCTTGTCAGAGATATTCACAATGCTGTGGTTTCTCCATAGCAGGGAGTTACTAATTTCCTAAGAATTATCTTCCTATTTGGTCACAAATGTTAAAATCCTTATTCTATTATGGAGGTTTTAAAACATGGCCCCAGATTCTCTGACCTTCCTTTCATCTGAAGTGGGACTTCCCACCTCGTGAATGTACTAAAATCCACTGAACTACAAACTTAAAATGGTTAAAACAGTGAATTGATTATATGATTTGTAGCTCAGTTAAAAATATAAAGTGGAGTTTTGTATCTCCTCCCTTTGAATTAGGGTCTGCACCCACCTGACCTGTAGAATACGGCAGAAGTGATGCTGTGAATTCCGTGTCTATGCCATAAGAAACTGACAGCTGCTCCCATTTCCCATCTCCAGGACCCAGCTACCACACCTTGAGGCCCACCGGAAAGGAACTGGGATTTCGCAGCCAGAGCCCAGCTGAGTTCCAGTTGAAAGCCAGCTTACTGGTCGGGTGAGCAAGTCACCTTGAAAGCAGAGGCTCCGCCGGGCTCGGTGGCTCAGCCTGTAATCCCATGCCTTGGGAGGCTGAGGTGAGTGGAT